TCTTTACTTCTCCATGATATATCTTGAAATTGTTGAGAAATGCACTCTATTGTTAAAGCTATTTGTGCCGGGTGTGCTAATGCACTCTTTGATTGAGTGAATTAGCAGTCATAACAATCTGGCAGTCTGGCCATAGAAGTGTGCTCAAATTGATTTGTGTTATGGCTGGACTGGAAAATCTAGTGTTAGTTGTTTTTTGCCCTGGGGCATTGTTTGTACCAAACTCCACTTTTCATTTAATTTTCCAATACATTTTGAAAGATTGAAATGCTTGTGATCAACATTTGATCTACTTGCATTATTTAAAAAAAAAAATTCTGAAAGTAATTTTAGATTCCAAAAAACCTTGCTTTCAATTAGAGTAAACATAATTAGAGTGACGTCGTGCTTGGAATGGTAAATCTCCCTTTGAATCTATTAAGCATGTTATCTCCTTGTCCTGTCACTGAAAGGAATTCAGTATATATCTGGAGTATACATCTGTATTTTTCTGTGCATGCTTGTAATAGAACTTGGGAAAAAATTAAAAGAATAAAATTGTAATGAATCTTTTCTTGTTGCCCTTTCTGCATATGTTGAAATTGTTTCTGTTTCACTTACTGATGCTATAAAGACAGGATACTTAAAGCTTTCAGGAAAATTTGAGATATTCAAGGTACACACTCAGATATACATTGTCTTTAAGTTACTCAATCATTTTAGTTTTTTTATATTCTATGAAATATGCATTTTTCCAAATAACTGTATCAATTGCTATACTGAAACTCTGAAGATTTAAAGGCATGACTTATCCTGGCTTTGTCAATATTTGTATCTTTCTTACAATCTTCTGCTTTGCAGTTGTTTACCAGAATTGTAATGCAGCATGAATAAACCTAAAAAATGACTATTGATTACAGAGAAAGCTTTGTGAAATCATTTAGTCAGTTTCCCCACTTGAGAAATCAGTGAATAAAATAGGTCAATAGATAAGGATGGAATGGATGTAATACAGTTTTATGCCTCTCTAGGTTATAAAAAAGGTCAAAAATAAATCCCCATAGAATTTATGTTTTACACTCATAAAATAAAATGATACTTACCAAATCCCAACTATAAGTCCATCTTTCTACAGATTTATTCTTCTTTTTTAAACCACAGGTTTTGAACGTATGTTTTTATGTGTCCCTGTTTCATTTCCTTGTCACTGCCCCTTTTAACCAAATAGGATGCCCTCATCATCGGGCTAAAGTGCCCGTTGTCATCCAGGTATTCACCGGGACGTTAGCTGCAACAGCTACTTTGTATTTTCTTACTGTCTCCTGCAACCTTACAGCTCTTCTCAAAACTGCATTTCGTACTGCACTGAACTCTGTATCCTGTGCCGATTTTTGTTAAGTAATAGATGGTGAGACCTGAGACCGCTCTCTCTATTAGTTCCCATTCGTACGGAACGGGGGGGTTGGGGGGGGAGGGAGAGGAGGGGAAGGGAGGGGAGGGGCCAGATGGGGACAGAGGGAGGGAAGAAAATGCCTTCCCTGAACTGGTGCAAGCTAAGCTTCAAACGATATCCTAGGAAAGAAATTAAAGACTTCTTAATTAGTGCAGCAATTAAGCTTTCTTGGTAGCATTTTAATCAGCACAGGCCCTATCAAAGGACAAACAGAACAATTTGCAGGTCTTTGAATTTTAAACAGTCTTATTGATTTCAGCACAATACGTCTTCACAAAACACAGGGAGAATTTTCTAATATCAGTTACAGTACTCTGAGTTTTGCTTATGCAAATTTAGTGAGGGTTGAGGAAGATGAGATGGGGGGAGAGGACCTAAAACTAGCAGAGATGTAAAATAATACACAAACAAGTCAGAAGCTCTAAAAGCTAAAAGATGCAATGAAGTGAGAATTTGAAATCTCTCAAGTTGATTTATCTACTGTTGTTAAATACTGTTTGCCTTTATCATTGGCAGCATTTCTCAAACAAACAAAACAAAACAACAACAACAAAAACAGAAGAAATTGAAAAAGAAAAAAGAAATCTTACAATTTTTCTAGTCTTTTCTTTCCTACATATTTTAATTTGCATTATACGCCTTTTCTAATTCTTTTGTTTGATCAAAGGGGTACGTGGTGGTTCCCTGAAACGGCTTCGAGACCTGAGGTCCAGGAAAGCTCCCATTCCGGTGGGGGCAAATGCCTCCAAGCCCCGCTGCTGAGTGGAGCACGTGCTTGCTCACAGGCACAGGTTTCCCTGCAGTAGAAAATTTGGAGTTTGCTTCAAAGCAGGGTGGGATTATGGCTTGATCTGCTCTCATGACTTCCTGTCTGTGGCTTCCAAGTGTGGCAGGTATTAGGTGAGTGATAGCTTAAGGAAATGTGAGAAATGAAAATGGTAAGGGCAGATTTTTGGCATTTAATTCCAATTTTCTTTTCTATTTGTGAGTCTAGAACTTAAAATAATGGGATTGTAGTTTAGTGTTTTAAAATCATATTAGAGTTTATTAAAGTTAGGCATGCAACTCCAAAATAAAATTAGTTTTTCAGGGCTTTCTTCCTCCCCTCCCCTCATTAACATAGTAATTTGGCATTTTATAAAAAGATAATATTTTCTAAAATACGCATAAACACTTAGAGAAGTGTTTTGATGTATGTCATATATATTGAGTCCCTACTTTTAATTGAAGACATATTTGAGGACTGAACAATTAATAAAAATTATTTCAAATACATTAAAATGCATTGGCTAGCTAGGCCAAACAATTGTGTAAACTATAGCTCTCCTGTAAAAGTTTATCTACTTTTCTGCAGCAATGAATTTTCTGAATTCTTGTAACTCAGGAAAGCCTCCTAATATAATTGCTATGCCCCCAAAAGTTGAGCATAAACTTGCACTAATTAGTTGATAGCGTCATATTTCTCTGTAGATAGTTCCTGCACCTTTTGACTCTAAACTTCAAAGAGTTTAAAGGATTAAAGTGATAAAGAGAAATGTGACAATAACTTAAACACCAAAATAGCAGAAATTTCATTATGAAATTTCCCAACCTGCTTATAGTCTATTTTTAAAATCCGTCAAATGCTAAAGCATTGTTTCATATCTCCTGAAGTTACTGAACGTGTGTAGACAGGTTCAAAGCCTAACTATTTAAGATTCCTAGAGATATAAGTAGCAAACAGAGTGACCTATGCTCAAATTGTATGTTGGTCAAAAATCCTTACATAAATAAATCCATGCAACAAGTTAGAGAAAGGAAAAAAAGGAAACAGGAAGGATGGAAAAAAGACAGTCAGTCTAAACTCAGACTGGTGTTTTTAAGCATATTTACCCTTTGTGCCTTTACAAGTCAACTAGAGAGCTTTGTTTTTATTCTTTTCATAAGTTAGAGAAAGGAAAAAAAGGAAACAGGAAGGATGGAAAAAAGACAGTCAGTCTAAACTCGGACTGGTGTTTTTAAGCATATTTACCCTTTGTGCCTTTACAAGTCAACTAGAGAGCTTTGTTTTTATTCTTTTCATTTTTTTTTTTACAAAACACGTTTCACTGACAAACTCAAAAGGACTTTCCCAAAACATAGTAGTACCTTTCAAATATGAAAAAGTAACTGTTGCGTTATTCAAACAACACATTATCAACTAGACTTGGGTCTTAAAGAATATGAAGATAGTTGGCTACTGTGCAAGACAGGTGAATTCATTACGGAGTTTTGTGTGAGAAAAATCAGCGTGTGCTTGTCCACTTTCTAAATCTTCAAGGGCGCCTGGTCGCTTTGAATTCTCTAGGCATAACAGGCATTTCTGACCTACCTTTGGGGCGAAAGTGAAGTTATTCTAAACGATCCACATCATGGCAAGCATTTCTTTCTACAATCTATGAGGCAATAAAGAATTGAATCCAGAGCATTCCATTATTCTTCAGCGATTTGGGGCTGATTTTCTTCCCACAAGTTGAAAACTGTCCTGGAATTTTCACTATACTGATAAATAATTTACTAGAGAAAGAACACAATCAGATGCCTAAAAAAAACTACGCTTTCCTTACGTGTGAGTTTTCCTCAAAATAATTTGTTAATCATGAAGTGGGGATGTGTTTTCACGTACATCTCATTGCCCAAACGCGTGGGGATGGATCCTAGATCCTTGAAGGAGAGCTCGGAGCGCTCTGGCTCCTCTCTAAGTTGCCAGTCGATTGCTCAAAAGCTTTTGGAAAACAGGACGAGTCGTCGCGGACGAAACGGAATATTAGGCATGCCCTGTAACGGGAGTAGCAAAGGAGAAGTAGGTGCTCTGCCTGCCCTTCTCTGATCGCCACTTCTGTGTCCCTGGCTTTTCCTCTCCGTCCCTCCCACAGTCTCTCCCCGTCCCCTCCCCCTTCCCTCCTCCTTTCCTCGCACACTCTCTCTGCTTCTGCGTCTCGCGCTCTCGGAGCCTCTGCTCCGAGTTCCTGGTTGGATAATTTGGGTTAATACTAGTGAGTGAGGTTTTTGCGGCTTCAAAGGGTATTTCAAGTTTCCGGAGCTCCTCCCCTCTGCACCGTGTGACAACAACAACTCGTCCAGCCGGCAGCCTGCACTTTTCAGCTCATTTTCTCTCTGTCATTCCCCTCTCAATCTTTGATCAATGTACTTGCCGGGGAGAACCCAAGTCCTTCAAACCTCCTCCTTTTCACCTTCCTCCTTAACTTTGTGCTAGAGCGGGACCCACACGACCACAGCCGACCCTCCCCGCCCCCGCCCCTCCCCAGGCCAGCCCTCGCTCCCAGCCCCCGGAGAGGACTCGCATTCCGACTTGCGGGACACTTTTGTGCGTTTCTCCGCAGAGCGCCTCTCGCGCTCGCCCCTCGTGCGCTCGCTTTCTTGCCCTCACCTCTTTTTTGCTCCTTCTCAACCTTTCTCCTCTTCTCTTCTAGAGTTGTTGCTGTCGCTCCCTCGCTTCTTCTGCCCCCCTTTCCTCCCTTCCCCTCCGGGGCTCTGTGGCAACTTTCCCCCTCGCTTCTCCGGCTTCTGTTTCCCCTTATATGTGACCATGGCAGTGCCAGCGGCTTTGATCCCTCCGACCCAGCTGGTCCCCCCTCAACCCCCGATCTCCACGTCTGCTTCCTCCTCTGGCACCACCACCTCCACCTCCTCGGCGACCTCGTCTCCGGCTCCGTCCATCGGACCCCCGGCGTCCTCTGGGCCAACTCTGTTCCGGCCGGAGCCCATCGCTTCGGCGGCGGCGGCGGCGGCGGCGGCCACAGTCACCTCTACCGGCGGCGGTGGCGGCGGCGGCGGCGGCAGCAGGCAGCAGCAGCAGCAGCAGTAGTAGCAGTAGCAGTAGCAGCAGCAGCAGCAGCAGCAGCAGCAGTAGCAGCAGCAGCTGCGGCCCCCTCCCCGGAAAACCCGTGTACTCAACCCCGTCCCCAGTGGAAAACACCCCCCAGAATAATGAGTGCAAAATGGTGGATCTGAGAGGGGCCAAAGTGGCTTCCTTCACGGTGGAGGGCTGCGAGCTGATCTGCCTGCCCCAGGCTTTCGACCTGTTCCTGAAGCACTTGGTGGGGGGCTTGCACACGGTCTACACCAAGCTGAAGCGGCTGGAGATCACGCCGGTGGTGTGCAATGTGGAACAGGTTCGCATCCTGAGGGGACTGGGCGCCATCCAGCCCGGAGTGAACCGCTGCAAACTCATCTCCAGGAAGGACTTCGAGACCCTCTACAATGACTGCACCAACGCAAGGTAAAGAGCGGGGGCTGGCCTGCGCCGCCCGCGGCCCCTTCCCACTGTCTGCTCTGCCTCCCCTCGCTCCCTCTCCTCTCCTTCTTCGGGGCTCGCCAGCCGCGCCCGACCCCCTGAGAAGTTGGCACCTCACCACCCTGCCCAGATCTCGCCCTTTTGGCCCAGAGCGTCCCTCAGCCTGGCTGCTGTGGGCCGCGGGAACCCCAAGCCTCGGGCCGGAGGGGGCGGGAAAGAGGAGGACGGTGCCTCTCCAGGAGCCACAGCCTCCTTCCCGGGGCGCGCGGGCGTCTGGGGACCCGTCTCGGCGCTACTGCCCCGGCGTGCGCTCCCCAGGACCTGGGTTCCAACGCCAGCCTCTGGGCACCGACGGGGCGGGTCGGCGGCGCCGAGCGGCGTCCCGGGGGCGGAGGGAGGTCCTGACCCTGCCCCGCGGGGTTGGGGGTGTGGGGAGACGGGAAGCCGAGGGAGCGGGCCAGCAAACGCTGAGGGCACTTTGAGGTCGGGAGGGGAACGACCCTCGAGGCCGAGAGGCCGGGGAGATCTCGGGGGACCCACAGGGAGCTCAGCCGCGAAGCCCCCAGAGGAAGCCCGCCGAGGGGAGGGGTCTGTGTGTGCGCGCACGTGTGCGTGTGTCCGCGTGTGAGCGAGTGCGTGTGCAAAGCAAATAAAGGAGTACGGTTGCCCCGGGGCAGATGCGAAGGCACCAGCAGGTTTCCTTCTGTAGGAGGAGGTGACCGGGTGCCCGAGACTCTCGGAAGCTGAACTGGAAAGAGGGGAAAGGAAGACTCCAGCGCTCGCTCTCGCTCGCTCTCTCTCTTTCAATCCAAAGTAGTTTTTCCCATTTGTTTCTTTCTTTTCTTTTCTCCTTTTTCTTTTTTTTTTTTTAAGGTTAGTAGCTCACGCAAGGGGCAGGTGCACACTTTGCACCGCGATGCTCCGATGGCCCGAACACCCTGGGCCTTGGCTTCCCCAGCTCGGTAAAGAGCGCGCCCGCAGGAGGCCGCGGGACAGGTCCCCAGCCAGACCCGTTTTATGCTAATGAACGTTCAGTGGGGGAGGATCTACCGAGAGGGGGCAGGAGTGGGGCAACTAGTCAGTTTCGGGGTAGAAATGATCATTCCATCCCTTTCACAGTTCCGCTTCGTCCCCACAGTTCCCCGAGGGAAGCGCAGAGGGGAAAGTTCAGAGATACCCGGAGAAAGCGAATAGGAAAAGTTGGAGACCTGAAGCGGGCACGTGGGAACTGCGCGCAAAATTTGCGCGGAAACTTCGGTACCCTCTAAATAAGTTTAAAGACTGGGAGAAGGAACGGAGTTGGTGTATGCAGCTGGCAGAGCTAGGGGAACGGGGCTGGGAAGGAGAGAGGTGTAGGACGAGACTAGAAGGAAACCGGGGTTAAAAGGCTGCTGGCTCTTTTCACCTTGGAGAGACTCCTCGCCGCTGCCCAGGAAGGCTGTAAAATGAAAAGGACTCGAACTCCATCCAGCCCAGCAAATGCCCCATCCTGATCTAGCCAGAAATTCCTTTCCGAATTTGTTTGCCACTCTTTACATGGGGCATGAGTATGTGTCTGGGTTTTGAATCTTCATTTGAGTAAATTGTGTGTGTGTGTGTGTGTGTGTGTGTGTGTGTGTGTGTCTGTGTGTGTGTGTCTGTGTGTCTGTGTGTGAGTATGTGTCTGGGTTTTGAATCTTCATTTGAGTAAATTGTGTGTGTGTGTGTGTGTGTGTCTGTGTGTCTGTGTGGGTGTGTGTCTGTGTGTCTGTGTGTGTTTGCGCGCGCGTGCCCAAGTGTATGGACAGGTGGCAGTAAAGATGGGAGGGAGGGACAAAGATCACAAAACGTCATCTACACTTTAGAGTCCTTCGTTGTCTAACGATAAAATATTTGCCTAAAATCTATTGTTCAAACTGTTTGAAACGGCTGAAATATTTTTCCGGAGTTATGAAGAAGGCTAGATGAAATTTAAAGACAGTTCAGATATGATCGTTTAAAAATTGTCTATTATCCAGTAAATTGGTGAAACGTTACTGTTTTTCTCTTTTATAATCAAACATCCCCTCTCCTCGGAAACCTCTTTGTGTGTATATTACAACACACACTGTACTAGATAATCAGGGACAGTTTCACACACTCACATGCACGTACACGCACAATTACTCAAGAAAATTTTCTTCAATGATTGTTTTATAATCAATGTAAAACTTGATCTTTTTCTTCTGATTTTTTGCCTAGACTTTGAATTGACGCCTTCATCATATGGTTGGAGAATATTCTAAATGTTATTAACTAATTTTTTAAGCTTTTCTTTTTTCTTTTCCCCCTGAGGTTGACAGCAGCTCTGGAGTTTTAACTTGCAGAGCCAAGATAAGTTAAATCCATTGGAACTGTTTATCCTTTCAAAAATATCTTGTCACTACTCTAATTATGTTTTAGTCACCTGACCTTAATACATTGCAATTAAATGTGTTCTAAAACCCTATTTCAAGCTCTTTTTAAGTTAAACTGGGAAATTTGTTGTATTTGTTCAGTTTACTATTGAATTTTCATCTTATATCAACTAAAAAAGCTTGCTCAAACTCAAATGCACACAAATATTGTAATCATTAACCTGAAAAGATGTACAGTTGCTGATTCCTACGTAGGTTTTCCTAACTCTGCTTCTAAGGAAATAGAAAACTTATAATTGAACTCCCTCTCACCAAAATATATTGTTTGCATTATAATGCATTATTATTTGTAATGATAATTATGTGTTATTGTCTTTTTTCTTAACTTTGAAAGCAATAATCTGAGATATTTTGCATCCTGAATTTACAAAACTAAAATTACTTTCATTCATGTCCAGTTTATGCCTTCGCTACTGAGATCCTTTTGCATTCACCCAGATGTATTGATTTCTTTTCACTCTGGTTTCTTTCTCCTCTAGCTACTTAATAGACTAAGGTACTAGTCTATGCAGAATATAAGAGAAACTGCAAGAAGGCAAACTACATAAAATTCTCTATGTACATATATATATAGTGTATGTGTGTGAGAGAAACATCAATTCTTAGCACTCTCAGCTTTTTACAGAACATTTATCTAATTATGTCTCAATAGCATTTAGATACCAAAAAATCTGAGGAACCAAAATGATGCTAAAGAAAAGAAGGGTTCATAAACTTGTTCAAAGTGTCGCAGTAAGTTAGTGGCAAACCTTAGAGTGGATTTAATTTGCTTGGGGCTATTGCATTAGTATGCTATCTATGAAAACAAGAATAAATGTTGAAGCCATCTGTCATAACCACAAGGAGATGAAAAAGAGACCATCACCTGCTAGACAGTAAAGCTAAACAGTAAAGTTCTTAAAACATGAAAGAAAATGTAAAAAAAAATATATTTAAAAGTTATCAAAGGGCAAAGTCTGACCTTGATCAGCTTCCTCTAGTTATTATTTTAAAACTAAACATTAGTTGCATGAACTTGGCTGTTGCAACAGAGGTCAGTTAATTAACTGCTAACCATTAAATAACAAAAAAAGAAAAGTAATTATGTACGTGGTGAAGTCTCTGTTTGTATGAGTCAATTGCTTGTTTGTGGATTTGGGTTAGGATTCAATTTTCCATGAATTCAGATAATAAAAAGTGACCCTGTTGTATTATGTTATCTAAAATGCTTATTTCTTTGATTACTTTCTGAAGATGATTTTCTCTCAGGATCTTTCAAACCAGATTGTGATTTAGGTTCCAAGCTGCCCTAGATTTGTGGAGTTTTTAACTCTGGTTAGTTTTATCAGACATTTTATATGCACATACATATATTCAGAAACAGTATTCTTTTGTTTTAAAAGTCAACATCATCCAAGGACAGAAAATTGAAAGACTTTCCAAGATTTTTATGTTTCATTAATAATATATAAGCTAAATTTTATTATAAGAAGTACAAAATATTTTTCAATTCTTGGCTCTATTTTTTGTTGGGAGTTTTAATAACGATGGCAAGCTGAACCAGTCTATATTTAATTAACATTTCCCCTGTTGCCTGCTTTTCAATGGAACAGACATACATTGATATAGAAAGTTTCAACACAAATACAGATTCACTTCTAACAGATAATTACAATAATTGGTACAGAAAAATTCAAGAATTACTTAGAATGAAGAGACATTATGCTTTTGAAGTTTTTGCATTACAGTAGATTAATTTTCTTATAAAGCCTAATGTCTCATTTCATAACATTTAGAAAAGAATACAGCATAGTTAGAAAACTAAGGCATAATATATGAAAGTTTGTTTGGTTCCTCAACTTATTTTTGTATACTTTAAAAATGTTCACAAATTACAGTTTATTAGTTAATATATGGATAAAATATAAGAATATTTTAACCTATGATTTATCTTGTACAATCAAATTATATTGCAGAATACAAATTCTTGAGGTACTTGGATAATATCTTTCAAACCCATTGTTTTTCTTGGAGTTAGTCTCCAAAATATAGTGATGATTGTCAAAAGTGCACATGATTATGAAGGTGCTTTACTTTTTGAACTTTGCAATTTATTAGTTAATGTTCTGAGGCAAGAAATTTGTTTTGCACATATGATATTTTATTTTGTGAAGCTTTAAATATTATATAGAATAAATTACAAGACAAGCCTTTTTTCCCAGAGTTCCCTTACACACAATTTTTGGTATTCACATTTACACAGAATTTTAAAATCTTCCTTTTATTAGTCCAAATCTGCTGTTAATTTTTGTTTAATCTCTTACGTTTCACTGAAGTTGCATGTAAATTACTGAGACAAATATTAGCCACCCTCCTTTTTGCCTCACTACCTCCCCCAACCCCCTGAGATGTGACACCCAATATTGATTAAAGTCTTGGCAGGATTTGAGCATAAATCATTCTTGTCTTTGGCGATTTACTACGTGCGATTCACCAGTGTACGAAACATAACATGCTTTATTGTTTCTCATTTGATGTTTTGCTTTTGGAATGTAAGTAGTATTTATAAATTAGCTTAATGTGCTGCCAAGTAGTTGTTATTTTCAGAACAATTTGCGCTTTGACTATCATTAGTATTATTTATCATTCCAGGTTATTTTACTAACGTGTTTCATACAATTACCTTTGTTAATCAAGTAAAATAGTCATTCAAATTGCATTGTTTTAGCAACATGGAACACAACTATTGCAAAATATAATAGGAAATGAAACTCTCACAGGTTGTAAAGTGTCTCCCTTTGAATCCTTGTCTGAAGAAATTAGTTTGAAGTATGCCTTCCGAATAGGTTAAGGTGAGTGTTCCAGATTTCATTAAACATTTTGATTTTAAGGGTTTTTTTTTTTTTTACTTCGTTCTTTAAAAAAGTTTGTTTGAATTTTATCTTTCAAGGATTTCATTTTTAGATTGTTTGCTAAAAAATGTCACAAAGTTATATACCTTTAAAATGACAAGGAATATAAAAACTGATATGAATTATCTTGGTATTTTAAAATGTAATTGAGATAAAGTTTTATCATTTTGTTTGAATTGTTATAAAAATAGAATGACCTTAGCATGTGCCAGCATGTGCCCATTTTCTTAACTGAGGTAATGCATTGTGATTGGTCAGTTTGAAATATGTATGTGTATATATATATGCACACACACATATATAGATTCTTGACTAAATGCTATAGTTTAAATATTCTAGCTAAGAATATATTTATATGTTTTCAGGCTTTGGGACTGCATTAAGGAGCACCTTTTCCATTATATTTGTTATGTTCAATAATTAATTTTTATGAATAAAACCCCAAATTGAGATTAGATAGGCATAATACCAAAGGATCTGATCTGTATAGGTACATAGCAGAGTCTCTGTGAATGTACATTTTGCTCAAAGTCCTTTATTTCTCTTCTTCTCAATTTGCCAAAAGTATTTCTAGTTAAAAGTAATTTTTTTTTTCTGCAGTGATGTCTTTTAAAACAACTTTTTTTTTGCTGATATTTGCTTTTTATAACATGTCTCATGCAGGAATGACTTTATTAGAATGGTGCAGCTAGTTTACCAAATTATTGCTTTGGAAAGTGAGAATACCAAGAATAAAATATTTATATTAGGGCCAGTAATGAGGTATTGTTTAAAACCAACTGGTAGACCACGTTATTTTTATGCACCTATTTACTTTTTTAAAATTTCTGCAAATCTGTTAGAGTGTGTCCATGCTGTTAGGTGTCGGTAGTTAATGATTAATTTCATGTATAAATGTGCAAATGACAATGAATAGAATTTTAAACTCACTATAAATTAGTCAATTAGACAATCAACAAATAAAAGCTCATTGATTTTCAATTAATGATGGGATTAAAATTAGTTAAATAAAATAGGAGATAAATCTCCAATTTTAAAAATTATTTGTCATATCATAT